ACACGAATGGGAGTGATAGCAGCCACGTTGGCGCTAGTCCCGATAACACTGAGCTGTGTCCTAGAGTCGATAAGCTTCTTCCTTTTGGCGTCGACGATGAGGTCGAAGCGTTGAAGAAAGTCTATGCCTATGATGGCGAAAGGCACAGCAGCGATTATGAAAGGCCAGCGAAAGGTTCGCCGGAGGCCTAAGTTGAGCGTTAGCAGCTTTTCGCCGAAAGTTGCGATTGGTGTGCCATTGGCGGCACGCAGCTTGGTCGGCGATGGTGAGACGACCTCATCTGAGCTACGGGGTATGACGCTAACTTCGGCACCAGTGTCGACTAGAAACTCGGTGCCGGAAGTTAAATCCCTAACACGGATGAGGCGACTTTGGTGTTGGCCGGTCGCGTCCGTCGCCGTTACCGACCGGCCGAGCAGTTTCCCTGCTGCTCGGCGTAGTTGCAAGGCTTGACACATTTACGAGCTGCGGTACCAAAACGCTGATGGTACCAACAGCTAGCTTGCCTGTTTCTAGACTTAGAACGTTTGCAGGGCGATGTTGAGCGGCTAGGACGACGACGGGTCATAGTAAGCTGTTGCACCTGGCGACTAAGTGTCGCAACTTGTGTTTGCAGGGCTTCTATAGTTGACTGTAAGCCAGTGATAGAAGTGCCCTGGGACGCGACGGCATGGACCTTGCTGGCGTTGGCCTGTGGCTGTGATCGTTCAATAACTCGATCCGCTAAGTCTGCTAGTTGAGTGAGCGGAACGGAGCTCACTGTAGCGAGAATCGCTTGTGTGTTTTCCGGTAGCCGCTGTAGCCATAGTTCGCGAAGTAAAGTCTCGTCCATGGTTGATGAACCAAGGAGTTGCTGCATCTCTCGTAGCAGGGTTGAGGGCAGTTTGTCGCCCAATTGCAGATCCCTGAAAAGCTGCTGCAGGCGAACTTTCTCAGAGGGCATAACACGCTTAATCGTGGCCTCCTTCAGAGCCTCATAGCGGTTATCGGTCTGAGAAATGATAACGTCACGAACCTGCGTTGATATCTCCTTGGGGAGATAGGACAGGAGCTTGCAATACTTCGCGTAGTCGGAAGTGATTCTGTGGTTATAAAACTCAGCCTCCAGATGAGCGAACCACAAAACAGGATCCATGTCCCAAAAAGGTGGAACTGAGAGAGATACAACACTAAGCATAGACTCTACCTTATGGTCTACAGATTCCATGATTTGAAAAAATGACGCGAAAAAATAGGCTACCGTATGCAAAAATAAAACCGGAAAATATGAAAAATAAATGGAACGAGCTCACCGGAGAAAAGTTCGAAATATCCGGCGTTGAGATTGTTCCGGATCCGGGGTCACCAATTTAGAGGGTTGCCTATTCCGGGAGCCCAGAGAGCGATTCCAGAAGACAGATCGAGTTGCAGGGAAACTTTTATTGGTTCAGCAAAAGATTCCCTGTTAGCTAGCTATAAACGAACGACACCGTGGACGCTCTAGCTAGGGGAACGGACCAAACACAGCACACAGAGCAGTTGCGCGTTGCAACCGAAGCGAGCGCCAAGCAAAAATGGCGATGAGCAAGTAAAGCATTCGAACTCAGCAATCAGTTCAACAAGCCACACCGGTTGCCTAAGTGTACAATTATAGAATTTTGGTTAGAATTTTACACAAGCAAACCGGGGAATCTCCAGACTGCTGCACCATCCACATGCCTCCTGGTCTTATTCCTTCTGGTTCACACTGGATATGGAAGTGTGGATGGAGCTGTGCGTGGTGCAGCGCAAGCCGTCTATGCTCCGTCATAGGCGCAAGCGTATGCCGTTACGGCGTACAACCAACACCCCATGGAGGTCACAGTGACAGGTAAATCCGGAACCGGGTGCCGTCAACAAATATGCAATTATTTACTATACCATGGAAAATAAACAACTACCCTCGTGCCTGGATGCTTGGTCCATTGCTACTTTTTAATTTTAGCGTAAGTATCATATCATAAGACTTGAACACTGTCTATACTACCCTTGGGTATGATTACGGATCACAAAATATATGGCAGCAGGAGGGAAATCTAGTGTCTTCTTGATTAAGCTGGGAAAGGTTCCAGATAGTCACCCTTGGAGTCCATCATTTTAGTTAAGATGAAGAGCTTCATAATCGATCGACTACATCCGAGAGCATTAAACAATAACTTTACACGTAGTGACCACAACTTTGTATCCATGGTTAAGGTGTGAAGTCTTCCCCTGGAAGTGGCACTTAGCAGTGGTCATACGTGGGTCCTGACTATAAACTACATATTCACTAAAGTCAATTTACTCGCATCTTATCTTACTCGTCCAAAGAATTCCTCCATACCACCCTGTCTAATCTCACGTTTGCTTACCACGTACGTGTTGCTGATTGGGTCTACTTCTCTCTAGAGATCTTCCTGGCCTCTTTAAAAAGCGATCCCAGAGCGATTACAGTGCACTGAAACATCTAACTCTAGGTTGTGGGTTTTTAAGGCTGGAACTTGCTAACATTATTATATCCACTCTACCAACTTCTAGAAACTGTTCATCAGAAATGCTGTTGGATGGTAGTCACACTCTTCAAATGGCGTTATGCGAATATGTATCAAAATTCTTGGCCAGACAGATGTACATGACTATAAATCCCCACGCATGGCACCATGTGCCCCATGCTGAGGCTGATGTTGCATTCATGATGCCTCTTCACCGCAGTTGGGCTAAAGCAAATTGTACTTAAATTAGGTCTTTTTAAGCTGGTTAAATTTCATTCCACTTTATTTGCTTTGTTCTGCCTACCTGAATAATCTTCTACTAACTTCCACTCGTTGCTTACGCTAATCGGGGCTATCTTCGTTAACTTTATCGCCTTTGTGGCATTTTTTGAATAACTTGTGGACCTTTTATACTTATTGCGGGTTCGCTGATAACCATTTTACTCCATATGCTCATTTAGCGAGTATTTATGTCGTCATTTTCGTTTGCTTTATTTGATATCTTTTATTTGATATTGTCATTCCAAGTGATTGGCTATTGTTTGACATCCCCCGTGTGGCTGTGCTTGATGTGCATGTTGACAAGGTGCTTACCTGTCTGTTACCCACTACCCCGTCCATAATGGCTCAAGTAGACAGTTGGTCGTTGCTGGAGCGAACGGGGTGCACGATGCTTTTGGTCGTGGTAGGCTCGAAGAGTGGTTCAGTGCATTCATTGTGGAGCGGACTACGGTCCAGCCACCGCCTTGTGTGCGATTGATTCCGAAATACAGCGTGCTTGCGTTTGCCTGTGAAGGAGTGTGGGCCGGCTCCGTTGGTGAAACGTGGCTCCAATCCACATGCCTCCCGGTCTTATTCCTTCGGGTATACACTGGATATGGGGTGTGTGGACGGAGCTGTGGGTGAAGCAGTGCAAGCCACTCATGGTCCCTCTGTAAGCGCAGGCTTCCTGTGGCTGGTCACAGTGACAGGCAAATCCGAAACCGTATGCCACCAACCATGGCACTATGCTAATTTAGTTGCTCCTTATTTTCCGCGTTGATTGACTGCTCGAATTTATTCAATCAAATCACTTTAGTAATAATAGCACTGTCAGATTTTGTAAGAACTTCTGTTTTGTACCCATTTTCTTGTGACTTGCAAGATCCTTTGTTATTCCTGTGTGGTGTTTGTGTATCGCAGCCGAACATTCATCCTTAGTGTGTACGTAAAATGCATTCCTGACATAGATTGATCGTTTGTCTGTATGAGACGCTGCATTGTAATGTGCAGATTTCCAAAATTCCACACTCTTCTAACTGTCCAGAAAGTCTCCTGCCTTTCCTAAACTGGCTGTGTTCACTTCTAGCCACATTGCCGACGCATTTCTTATCCAGACGTTCGGTACGAACTTTCCAACAGTATCTTGCGACTGTTCGAGTACTGAATTACCCGTTACGCCATATGGCTGACTTATTATGCAGATGCGGCACTCTCTATAAACTTTTACTTTTTTTATTCCCGACAACGCGAGGCATACCTTTACAGGCATCATCCTGTTAGCATAACAAAGTGTGGTCAGACGTGTACAAAAACGTTTTATATAGCAGTGAATGTATGTGTATGAGTGTATTTGCGTATGTAATTGTTCAGTAAGTAGCCTTGTAGCTTGTGCCTATAAGTTTGTTGTTGTCTTGTTGACTGTTTGATTTCACCACTAATTTGAAAATAAACGAATGATGTCCGTGGGTTGGATGGCATTATCCGGCTTTCCACGGGGCAGTGACTATATTTTGTGGCGAGTCACATCCGCCACGTCACAGTGCTGTTAAACGGACATATGTGACTTTTATCGGAAGAACACTTGCTAGGCAAAAACCCACCACATCCTGGGACACTGCCGCCAAACTATTTGCTGAAACAGGTTAACCCCGAACCAACCAACTGGCACCACGAGCAGGTTGTTCGGCTAGCCAGCTGTGGTGGTTGTCCACCACCAAACAAGTGCCGAATTTCCACGGTGTCCGCTCAGTGACAAATAGTTGGATGTATTCTATCCTCATCACTAGAGCCTTGTTCCAGCGTCACTCTTCCTTAGTTGTTAACAAAGGCGGAAGCACACAATCAATACTGCAAGACTGGTCAGCGGTCTCGATTGTTCCACCGATTAAACATTCCTTACTCTAGTTGAAATCAAAACTTCGATACCCCGCTTACCTATCTCTAAATGGTAGATAACTAAACTAACACTCATGCTGTGGCGAGCTTTTCATTGCTAGTGCACTATCCTTCCGATCCTGCTAAGAAAATTGGAAACATGCATTACTTGCTTACCTGGTTCGTCGTGTGCTTGTATCTGATGATAGGAATAGCAAATTTTTCAGTCTCCATTTGTACTTCATTGGAGCGTGCGTCAATATACTCTGTCCTTTATGAACCAAAACACTGCATCGCAAGATACGTTCTTAGCGATTCACCACAAAAGCCACTTGAATCTGGCACGGACTATTCCCATTTTCTTTATGTGTTTAGATGCATCCGTCACACAGTGAAGTTGAAGACATTCTCGCAGCGGTCGAGCAGGTAATTCGATCATCGGCGTTTTTTATGAACTACGTTGCAGTTTCTAGATTACTATCAGTTCCGTAAGACCCTGACAAGTTTCAGAGATGAATCGGAGCCCTTTCGCAGCGTTAGGATTCAAGATTGGCGGCCAGTGGAAAATTTCTCCAAAAAGGTTAGATACATACCTATCCCCTACGCTGTTAGCTTGTGGTTCTTAAGCTTTTCAGAAGCGGCGAATGTGAACAGTTTTTCGAGTCACTTTCGCAGCTTTTGCCTGACCATGTGACACACGATAGCGAATTCCAACGCTTAGAATTCGAATTGAATCTTTACTTTGCCACTTACTCCTGGAATACCAAAAATGCGGTATGAAATTCAATTCCGTTTTGGAAGGTTAAATATTCACACAGGAAGAACACCAGAAAGCAATGAAATCGTTTCGCCAGTACTTGGAAACGAAAGGATCTCAGTTAAGTCAAAGCACCGACCTTTTACCATATTACGCTCTCCCCTACGTCCCAAATCCACGGGAGCACCCGACGTACCAACGTCTATTTACAGATTCTTGGAAGTCCTCTATACAACAGAAATTATCCTCCTTGCTGGACACTGTTCTTACTGGGGGCAATATCGCAGTTCCGCGTTTAGTCAAGGCCCTAACGGACCACAATGTAAAACGGGATGCAACTCTTCGCCAGTTGACGGTAAGTTGCACCTGTACTTTTAACATGGTACACTGTTCCCAGAATGAACTTTCGGATGCCGAAAAGCGGGCCTCACAGGCGCAGCGGCGTTTTGTGCGACTTCAGTGGGACTATCAAACGCTCATTGGCGTGACAGCAGACCTACTGGATGCACTAGAAAGCAGTTTGAAGGGTATCAAACTGGACGACGGGGTTGTGCAAAAAATTTACGCTCGTTTGGTTGGCGCTCAGCCTGGTGGGTTTAAGCCATCAGGAGCCACCTTAGAGTGTGCCACAACCACGGGCCTTTCATTAAAACATCACTCAAAAATTGGCGCACCTCCTGAATTGACCTCGGGCACGGCGGAGCGGATTAGTACCAGGTGAGTTGCAGCTTACAGGGAGCTCCAGCGAACGCCAGTAAATGGCATCGCTTGTATTGAATGCACTTCGTTTATCCGTCTCTTCGTTATTAACGTAACGGTTCATTCTGTGGATTTTGCTTTTTGTCCACCTATCTGACTGTCATTTATACACCTTTGCATATTCACGCGAAGGAAAACCCGCTTCATATCTGAAATCATCGGGTTGGAATATCCTGGGAAGATTGGTTATCGCTTTGACATGAGATATTGTAACTATCTCGCACTTTGTATTTTTGTAATATATCAGCTTGGCACTTCCGGTGATATGAGACTGAACCTGAATGTGACCAGACCGTTTACCTACATTCATGATTTATTACGTTAATCTAAGCATTATTCCTAAGCACTTTCAGTATCACTCTTCCAGTCGGTCAGTATTTACTATTACTGGGTAGCGAGTCTATTCTGAACTTTCTGCAAGTGAGCGTCGATATATTCATATTAAAGTTAAAATCGGTCAAAGGAATAGAAACGTTACAAGCGTTCATCATATTTCATCATGTGTTTTAATAACAAGCTTCTTTCAGCTTAGGTAGACCAATACTTATTCCTTTCCGATCAACAAATAACTGCCTACCTGGAATTATCTGAGGGTACCCTGTCCAATTACACTTCATCAGATGCTGGTTGTCAAACCTATGAGTAGTAGGGATTTGAGTATAATTTTAGCAGTAGTTCATCGCTGTCACTCATACCAGCTCCCACATGTCTGTGGAAAGCACCAGACGGCCGCTTCGAACTGCTGGGTCTTATCAGTTGTGCACGTTCCTCCAACTCTTGTGAATTTCGGCCTCCATGACTTTCGGATATCAAGCGCTTGGACCACTAAGCCATGAGTGACCATCGTGCCATTCAGACATATATATATATATATATATATATATATATATATATATATATATATATATGGTATGAGTGACAGCGATGTACTACTGCTGATTCGATGCGGATACCGAAACCACTCTTATATGGTCAGCTGAGTACTGGGAAGCGGCATGTGGGGAAACCAAAGTTACGTTACCAGGACATGATCAAACTGAGCCTCTCACGTTCTAATCTTGATTGCAGGTCATGGGCATCGAAGGCGGTTGATCGGCGTGCATGGCGCGATCTACTCACGAAGGCTGTTGCCGAAGTGCGGGAGAAACTCCTCATACATGCAGAGAAGAAGCAACAAGTGCGGAACCGGAAAGCACCGGTGGATTGTACTCCATCGACATCGAGCGCATGTGCTGTAGTACATGTGGTCACCAACAGTAAAGTTTTTAGAGTGCACAACTTATGCACAAAGAGAATATAAGAAGAATAAACTAATAGGTGGGTTTAGGAAGTGTGGAACTGTAGTTAAAGGGGTAGAATGTCACTACCTCTTTTCGCCAGTGTTCACAGTCTCTTGACTTCCGATAGGTTTTCTAGCCATGTGTGCTTGTAATCCTTGCGCCCGAACCGGGGAGTCAACAGCGCCCTACAGCGACCAAATGTTAGGTCAGCTTCTTCATGCTTTTGGCCCAAAGCATTCGCGGGCCACTTTGTTCTCGCTTCCGGCCAAATTCTGTGCACTGTTAGGGAAAAGCTCAGTAGGCATACGGAGCACATACCCACACCATCGAAACACAGACTTAGTTATTGTGCGCCTCCTAGCCGAATAAATTCGATCTGATCTGAAAATCCTTCAGCGAACATCATGGCTAACGTGATGTTGGCACCGTCCACCAGCAATGCTCCTACAGTAGCGATGATCAAAGACAGGCAGCTACTTAATGCCCTTTGCACGAACCGGCCAAGTCTCACAACCGTAGAGCAGCACTACTCTCACCGTGACATGGTGGATTTGGCCCATCAACGATAGACTCAAGTCGCGTCGACGCTGGAGGTGACAGCAATTAGCAAACGGAACCCGGGCACTATCATGGTAATTACGAACTGTGCAAAAGATGATGGGTCGCGCTATACAGTATTCCAGGCTCAATCATGTAGGTCTGTCGCCGTCAGCCATGGCTTAGGGGCGCAAACAGATGCCATCCGGAAGTCATGGAGTCGGAACCAGGCGGTGTCAAGGGAAGGTGCACTACTGTCGAGGCCCTGCATGTTGAAGCGACCGTGTAGTGCTTTGCCAGACGTGTAAGCGCCTGTATATCCCAGAGGTAACTGCGATGAACTCCATCTACAATATGTAAAACTGTTTCATCTTGGTTAACTCCAATTAGCCGCACTGGGGCTACGTACCTTTCTCATAGACGCCATATAAATGTAGAGTGCTTTGCGTGTTGTCACCTACCATTAAATCGTAGAACTTTCCGCCTATCGAAGACGGATAATACCACTCCGAAACTTGAGCTGTACAGAATTTGGTGGGAAAACACAGCGTCTACTGTTATTCAGCATTTATGTTGGTTTCATTTCGGGATAGTTGTTCGTCTGGCTGGCTGCACTTCTTTTACCCTATTTTTTCTGCATAATCTGTATTTCGTACATCACGTCAGCCCCATCTGAGTTAACTTCCATTGCATGAGTTGCAGATCCTAAGTGAACACACACCCTGCTAAAGTTGCCTGTAGTATATTTCAAGTCTACTTTGAACCAACCAGTTCTTCCAGTTTAACGAACAACCTTTATCGAGAGCCCGGAATGCGATTCCAGATGACAGATCGGGTTGCAGGGAAACTTTTATTTGTACAGCAAAGGATTCCCTGTTACCTAGCTGTAAAAGCGACGTTGTTGACGCTCTAACTAGGGGAACAGAGGATGCACCGCATACAGGGCAGTCACGCGTTGCAACCGAAAGGAGCGCCAAGCAAAAAGTGGCGATGATCCGGTCAAGCATTGGAACTCTGCAATCAGTTCAAAAAACCACATCGGTCGACTAGGTGTACAATAAAATAATTTTAGTTAGACTTTTACAGACAAACCGGTCACACGCATATTTAAGTATATAGTTGCATACCGGTTATTGTTAATGGTACTGAGGAGGCAATACGAAATGCATGCATCTACCAGTTTTCGTCTTCTTACCGTGCTTTCCAAATTTCTGAAGGGAACTAACTGTTTTAAACCGGTGAATCTTCAGACTGCTACATATCCCTCCCCCAGAATGGACTGTGTAAGCAGTCCTTCGATCTCCGTCAGGACTGTCCGTCGCGGACCAGCCTTCTGCGAGACCAGGTTGTGAAACCTGATGCAGCTGCTGGGGGATAACTATGCAGTCGGACCCTAGCGGGCTCCCACCCGTGTCCTACCTACGGTGTCGAAACGGTAAAAATGTTTTTCGGGTAGACAGTTAGTAAAGTTCACATATGTGGTTGAGCAGAAACTTCGTTCCATTTCCAGTTGACATGCGGGGATCCAGCGAAAATTGCAACCAAGGTGCAATCAACCGACGGTGTATATGAAAAGCAAAATGAAAAAGAGAAGCGTAAATGCATAGCGATACACAAAAGAATGCAAAGCGAAAAAAGTACAAAACTGTTTTTGCGTTATCAAATGGGTTTGCTCTTGTTTGTAGTTTCAAAACGGTTTAGTCTTTTCCGTAGGTTTTGGAATACGTTTGTATGAACATAAAAATAGGTATGGAATGCTCTATGGGAAGTGACAAACGCTAACGAAATCGGGAAAGCGTACTGGAGGTTTTACTTCCCTACCACGTCGGTTGATAGTGGGTCGTGAAGGGGTGACGTCGGTTGAGGCTGTCGGTTCCGCTGGAGCGAAGTGACTGGTCTGGGGTTGCGGCGCTGGCCGAGATGGCGCAGACTGAGGAAGTGCTTGTTACACAGGGGAGTCATAGCTGTCGAGAAATGCTGGCTTGAGTCGGTCGATGTTGATCGTCTCAGTCTTACCATTGTAGTCAACGGTAAAATTCTTGTCTCTTCTGCGTACGACTCGGTAGGGGTCAGTATAAGGAGAGTGAAGTGGCCGGCGTACGCTGTCAGTGCGAACGAACACGTGAGTGTAATTAACAAGTCGTTCGTCCGCGTTTGTACGCAAGCTCTGTGCTCCGGGTTGCGCAAGCTGAAGCTATCGCGTGTGATGAGATAGGCGAGCTGCGTAGTCGCCATGGTCGAAGGTTGTAGATGCTTTTGGTGACACAATTGTATCAGGTAAACGTTGTGTCCAGCCAAAGACTAGCGCAGATGGAGTGGCTTGCAAATCCGCCTTCATCGTGTTCCTTATTCCTAAGAGAACGAGCGGAAGTGCTTCGTGCCAGGGTGTGCTAGATTATGCACAGAGTGCTGCTTTGAGTTGTCAGTGGAACCTTTCTACCATCCCATGGATAAATAAATGGTATATTCCTCGGTGATTCGAGGTGCAGTCCAACTATGTGGTCTGATCAATGTGTACAACAGGATCGCAAAAAAATAATCAATTTGTTCACGCTGTTTACAATGGATCCAAAACAGACTAAACTAATTGGCAGGATTAAGGCATTAAAGAAATTAAAAACCAGGAACAATAACGTAAGCAGATTTAAACAGATGTCCAGTTAAAGTAATACGGCCACTCGTGGAACCATCCCCAGGGGACCTGCTTCCATGCAAGGTATTCCCTCGAAAGGTTTCGCTCGCACTTCCATGCAATAACTGGCCGTGTGCCGGTGTGGCATAGTAGCATATGAGCCATCACCTGTTTATCATATGCTCTGTTCTTTTTGAGCTGCTTTTGTACATATGTTATGGGCCATGAAGGCTCAGCCCAGTCCGTCATGCGGATCATTCTATTATGGCACTTTTTTATACGCCAGTCAGTTGGTGGCAATTTGCCTTGCATAGGTAACGTCTTTTATAATCTGGAAGCTGTAATCCGTCACCACAGGAGATCAGTCTAGTCGTGGCCAACTATGAAATAGGGAAGAATATAGAAAAGAGGAATTATGTGAAAATATATCGTTCGTGTAAAAAATAGGCAGGTATGTTTTGTACATCGGCGTAGAAATCTATCGGGCCGATCATACGATAAATTGTGTA